CCACTGCCTAATTTTGAACACACGTCGGTTAAAAAGACACCAAATAAATAAAAACGGATCAAACTACTACAGCGCCATCTTCCTTAGAGTCTGAATTAAGTTCTCCATCGGTAAAATTTTTTTTATTTGCAACTAAAATGGGTAGACTCGCCCCGGTTTACGGTATTATTCGTAAATATTACATACAAATAATGCCAATATTGATCAAATTGACTCGTCTGAGTCCAGTTATGAATATAATATCGATAAATTTTACTAAAGTTTGAATTAACATAGTTTTTTTACATGTCAAAGTTCAAAAACTGCGAAATCCTGCACAAAGTAGCCCCGAATGACGGTAAGTAAAAGAAAACAAAGAATAAATAAAAATGTAAAAACCTATCGTTTACAAATGGACTAAAAGGGATAAAATATTATCTATTTTTGACAGGTCTAAAAAGAAATCATTACTTCAGACATAAACGAAGGTATTACTTTCGAAAGTTTTAGGCACCTTAGGATACTTAGTAAAGTTGTAAGGGTAGGTTTTAGGCGGAGATTACAATTAATTGAAGTTGTTTGTTATTGTTTCTAATGCCGCATTCCAGTGCCAGCAAGCCTGCTTGATGAAACCGAGTGAATTTAATGCAGATGGTGTGTTTCTTGTATTTTGGTGGCGGCATATATATAGACAAGAATACGACTTCAGCAACATAGTAATCATTTCCCTTTTAAAAAGCAGACATATTTATACATCCATTAATTCATCCGCAGATCATAATTTTGATATGAACCAGAGAATGATTAATATCCAATTTAGTACTCCCTGAGATATATTTTGTTATCGGAACATGGAGGACATTGTGGCCAACAGATTTAATGTAAACCAGTCACCATTTACTACACAGGCAGTCTTCTGCCGGAGGGGATCGATTTCACGACCTCTTGGGCGTAGGCCCAAGTCAATTGAAGTAATGCACCTTACTGTTTCGTTTATGTGTGACAAAAATAGAAAAATTATCTCCCTTTCTTATACTTCTTAAAAAAAGCAGCTTTTAAATTTTTTTATTTTATTTTATTGAAATCGTTGAATCTTGAGAACTCTAGAGACTGGCGATAAATTTCTTTCACTGATAGTATCGTAATAAATTTTACTTATAACTATCAAGAAACAATTCAAATGTGAGCTTTTTCTCCTTTACGCAGTTCGAAACGCGTTTAAATAAAATAGAGGCAGCTTGAAATATNCGGGATGAAAGTATATTACTTCCACGAATCCCTATGATACCCACAGATGTGCCAATTCAATTTAAACGCATTCACTTCCATATAAGACTGACATTTGCAATGACAAGGCCAAACAATGTCAGTTTGTGTCTTAGATTTGAGCACACCATGTTTTTCACACAGACAATTATACGTGGCATGCTCTCGAGAGGGCAAACCACCCAGTTTAATTGTGTTAGCTAAAGATGGAATGACAAAAAATATTGTATACTCCATTGCACTAAGAGATTAATATTGTTGACTAATATTTTCAGAATTCGTTGTATATATAATTTATAAAAAAAAGTTACAATAAATTAAAAAAAATATTATTTGGTGTGTTGTTATTTTCACATTCCGTCATCGTTCATAGCGCTCCATGCCTCTTCCACTCATATACCACATACGCACACACTTACAATAAATAAGATATATTTTCATACTATAGAAATAATTCATGTGGCAAAACAACGTTTGCCGGGTCAGCTAGTATATATATATATATATATATATATTGCGCATAAGCTGCACGTAAATAGAACTCATAAAATAAATTAAAAATGTAGAGAAAACATGGGGAAAATTACAAGACAATGATTGTTGTTGTTGTCGTAGTTTATTTACGTCGCACTAGAGCTGCACAATGGGCTATTGGCGACGGTCTGGGAAACATCCCTGAGACATGCCATCACAAATATCCGAAGACATGCCATCACAATTTTGATCCTCTGCAGAGAGAATGGCACCCCTGCTTCGGTAGCCCGACGATCTGCACGCGAAGTCGAGCACTTTACGGTAGAATAGTTTAATGAGAACCAATACCGCACACCCTCGGTCACTTCGCAGACTGATCCAAGTGGTCACCCATCCGCACTCTGACAGCAGCCAGTGTTCTGCTGGGAACTGTGCCTTTATGATTAGTCCACTGCGGGACACAGAACAATGAGAAGAGGGGGAAAAGAGAAAAATAATTTTAAAAAAATTCCGAAGAAAAAGAATAGGAGAAAAAAAAATTTAAAAATCCGGAAAATAAGAGATATAATCTTTTCATCAGCTCATATCCGCAAAAAAGAGTGCTTTCTAATATTGTATCAATATAGCCAAAGCAAAATATATCAATACAATAGTGTTTTTTTGCATAATAGGTAAATATACAGTATAATAGCATAATAGATAAATACAAAAAGTACAAAAAGACAAAAAAACGAAGAAATTAAGAAAAACAATAAGTTTTATTTATTGCGCATAAACTGCAAGTAAATAGAGCTCAAAAAATAAGTTCAAAATGTAGAGAAAACATGGAAAAATTTCGGAACAATGAAAAAAGAGAAAAAGAAAAATAATAATAAAAATAATAAAAAAATTCCGAAAAGAGGGAAAAAAATATAAATTCAGGAGGAAAGAAATACTCTTTTCATCAGCTCCCACGATTATATCCGCATAAAGGATTGCTTTCTAGTATTGTATCAAAATAGTCAAAACAAAATATATATATATATACGATAGTGTGAGTAGCACTCAAAAAATTTTACAAAAAATTTGCAACAAATAAAATAGAACACATTAAGTAAAAAATATGACATAAAAACAGAAAATAAAAAAGAGAATAAAACATAAAACGAAATCTGTAAAGCGAGTAGCGAATTCAAATGAACTTACATGAACGGGAAATATTTCAAGAATGATTTAAAATAGTTTCGTAACAAGATTGCCTGATTACAAAATATGAAAACAGAAGCGCAAATTGAGGTAAAAGTGTAAATAGAGGAGTTTTGTTTATTAGTGCGTTCTTACTACAGTACTGAAATGCGTTTGATTTGTTAGTTACCAAGGAAGGGTCCGAAAATGGATGTGCGCAAGGTAATATTATACTGTATAATTTAAAGAAGCTGGCAATTAATAATTTTGGAAAATTATTTTTTATTTAAGAAAAAATAAATAAATTAGAAAAGAGAAAGAAAGAAGACTTGCCTAATTTGCACATAATTTTAGCCATGAATTTGCCCGAAATGTATTTGCACATGGTAAAATTGTATAAACTAACAAAAAAGTTTATTAGTAAATTTATTTACAATATGCAATTAACTTAATGATTTAATATAAAATTTAATTACCTTCGTTCAGTATCCATTCTTTTTTATCAAATTTTCTAGAGTTTGTCCATTTGTTTTTTGAATAAATAAACATTTTTACATATTCTTTTAATTATAATCATTTGACTAAAATTGGTATTTAAATATTACATTATTGCACACATTAGAATTACATTTATTAGATACATTAGAATTCCTACTAATTAGTTTATTTACATTAAAATTAAAATAATTTCTTTTATCGTATAAATCAAGAAAGCAGATATTTTCTTCTTTTATAATACCCAAATCCAAAAAATTTTAATTAATTTTATAATCATGATTACGACAGGATTAATTCCTCGGGGTAACTATTATTAATAAAAATAGTATATATATATATATATATATATAATAAAAAATAAATAAATAAATAAACTGCAAAACTAATTAAATACATTAGTTAATTATTCTTTCTTTTNATAAATAAATACAAGAAAACACTAAGAAAGTTAAGAAAAACAATAAGTTTCATTTATTGCGCTCAAGCTGCAAGTAAACAGCACTCATTAGATAAGTTCAAAATGAAGAATAAAACAAAGAAAATTCCAAGAAAGAAATTTTCCAATCCAAACAAATCCAAACAAAGAAAGAAATTTTATTCTTCATTTTGAACTTATATGTATATATATATATATATATATACATATAAATTGAAATAATTAAAAATTATTTTTTAATTTTCTGCAAATATGCTATTAAGTTTACTGATAAAAAAACTGCTTAGAACACTAATGTTTAGATAAAAATTATCGTATTAGCCGATAACATTATTAAACATGCGTGCGGCTCTTCGTTAATTTACCTGCTGTGCAAGCCCTTCGCTCAGAAAGGTTGTGCACCCCTAATATAAAACACAATATAAAAGTTAATCAATCAAATCAAACGTCGTTAGCAAAATGTTCAAAACTTTAAGTTACTTAGTTAGAAATCAAAAACAGATACTTACGACTGTGTGTTGCGTACACGACTCCCGGAGTTGTTCCTGGGGACATATCTGGGATTCGAATTGGCTTCCCGGGACCGCTATATCCAACAACCATTCCAAATAAAGTAATGGTAAGCAACGAAAATAGTTCGGCTCTAATCATAATTGCCTTCTTTTGGTCTTATATTTTTTATCTGTAAATCTTTTAAAATTGATCTGTTAAAATTAAAAAGAGTATATATCTGATTAAATCCATGACAAGTGCAACAGAAGATAAAGCCGAGATTCGTATCGGACACTGGTTTTCTTTAAATATTTCAAACAGCAAAATTTAAGGAAAAAAACTAATTATAAACTTTTTTACCCTTTTGCAACTGTCATTAAAGCTCTATCGTCACATTTCGGCAAGTATAATGCTATTTCTTTGCTATTTCGTTTCCATCTGCAGACCAGTGGAATTTGTGCTTGCGGTGATGCTGATGAAGATGCTGAACATATTCTTCTTCACTGTAGTCTCCATGCGAGTGCCCGAATGAATTTAAAGACTGATTTGAGACGTCTTTCAATTTGTTGGCCACCTGTCTTATCAGAACTGGTCAAAAGTATTGAAAGTCTTGCGGCCTTGCGGAATTTTGTTTTTAGTGTAAATTTGTAAATTTTTCTCCTTTTGTTTTTTACTTACAACTGTAAGCCTCATGCTATACTTTGTGGTGCATGAGGAGTTTTAAGTCGTTTAAATTAAAAAAAAAAATAAATAAAAAAATATTTTGTTGACCTGAGATTTTACACAGAAACTGCGTCATGTCAATTGTTATTATTTATAATTGAATAAGGAAGTAAAATAAAGCAATTTAAATGTCGGTTTCATGTCTAAGTGATGTTGCCCAAAGATGATTCAACTCGTCCCCAGTTAACAATAATTTAAGCTCTGTTCATCTTTAATTCTAAGCTTATTACGAAAATGGCTCAAAATATAAATGTGAAGTCACGCCACGGTTTCGTGTAAACTTTTGAGATCTGATTTTTGTTAAGTTTTAAAAATTTATTCCTATTTATAGACCCATAATAATTGGCAAAAGATGAGAATTACTAATTGATTTCGATAATTTTTAACTACCTGAAAATTGGGGATTTTGCGATGCAAAATTATAGCCTTGCTTTGAAGCATACAGCACTCCAACTGGGATTGTAAAGAACTTTTGTGTAAAACGCTTTTATATCCCTCAGCAAAAGAGTTTATAATTAGCTTATTTAAACTGTATTTCAAACCAGGAAACGAAGTATTTGATAGATCAAAAAAAAAAATTCATTACTATTTTTATTTTTTTTGTGGACTATTAAGTAACAGCCATTTCGTTAAATTTATACGGTAAACAGGGAAAATAGAAATATCCTATATAAAATTGACTTACTGCTTGGATGTCCAATTCCGTAAATGTTCAGATAATCCTTTTTGTCTTTTTTTATACCCTTAGCAACGACAGCATAAAATATTTTTTATGACATACGGATTAATGTTTTATAGTATATGACTTATAGTAGATATACAGCAACGGTAGTTTTATCAAATATTGGCACTATTTCAATATACTTTTTTTAAGCTACAACTCGTACTTCTGTCTTTTTTAGATACATTTTTCACTACGTAATTAGATGAACTTCTCTGAAATAAAGTATTATTTTTATTTAATAAAACAGACACAAATAACAGTTTAAGTTATTGGCAAATAAATGTCATAGAAAGTTTTAATCAACTGCATTTTATAGCGCATCTGTATTTGTGCAGATAACTTAACCGTGGTTATTTACTGAAGAATGTATACCGCATTTTAAACTCTCCATTAAAGGAGATTGATTATTTCTCAAAATAAATTTAATTTGTTGAAATATATTTTATTATTAAATTTGGTAGGAATTGTTTTTGGTAGGAAAAATAATTTAGAGAATTTTGTATAAAAAACATTTTCTATTTGAATGTTGCCATTGTACATAAAGACAATAAAAAAAATGATTTCTTTTCGAAAAATATTGCTTCCACACTAAAACCCTGAGAAATTAATATTAATTGGTATGATATAAAACTTGAGAAATTATTAGTTCTCGATGTATTAATACTTAATGCCCCTCGAGATAATAAAATTACATTAAATAAAATTTTAATTATATTTCTCAACTGAAAAAAATTCTATTATAGTCTATTATGGATGACAGGGACTATTATGGGACAGGCAAAAATATTACAATTGACTATCATGGATAGATTGTTTTATTATGGGTCGCATTAATCCTTTCAAGCAATTGTGATTTTGTCAATTTTTATAACGTTTTGAGCGAGTAATACAATTCCGTACTTAATGTATTTACTTTACCACAACATTAAGAATAGCGGCAACTATACATCGAAATTACAGTAGAAAAAAATTCTTTTTTTCTATTTTTCAATTCATGAGAAATTTTATTTTAATTGATTTACTTTGAAAACAGAACTGAGATAGAAAAGTAGCAAATTGCCATTCTTTAAGATCAATTTTTTAAGAAAAATATTTTTTTTTGTTGGACTTTTTGTTATGTTTATTATAGTTTGGACTAATTACATTATTGTACAGTCGGCAAAAAAAAAAAAAAGATATCACCCTGAATAGCTTTCGTTTTAATGATCCGATTCTTACGTACTAAGTGTCAAACTTAATGGTTTCCGGGGGTGACCTCAAATATGCTAATTGTTAAGTGCTAACTATTAATTAAACTGCGAAATCGGACACAAAAACGTACTTTCTCTGAATAAACGTACATTTTTTATTTACATATTTGGATTCTTAATCCTCAAAATACACGGGGGAACCGCTATCTGGGAAATGTGGTCTCCATCGTTTGGTTAGGAGAGCAATTCAAAGTTTGGACCCCTTAATGTTAATTCACTTTTTGCGTCTTTAGTCATATTTTTAATACTAAATGATCAATTCCAAAAAAATTGCACCCACTCATAAAACTCATTTACCCAAAGATAATTTCATACAAAAAATAATTTCTAATAATTATTCATTATTTTATATTATTTAATTAAATTGATAATGAAAAAATTTGAATTATAAGGTATGACTTTTTTTATACCATATTAATCTACATATTTTTCATTTGAAAAATCTAAAGTTTCAACTGTTTTTATTTAGTACAAGCTTAAAAAATTAAAATTAATTATTTTTTAAAAAAATAATTTGGCTACACTGAATAATTATTAAAATGGGGCGACTAATATTAAAATGTGATTAACTTACGAGGAACTTGACTTCGTGTGCCTAGTGTAAAATTTCATTCATATTTTTTTCGCTAGTAACCGGTTTCTAATCTTTTTATTTTCATTTCTATATGATAAAATACGCTGTTTCTCTTTTAGTCGTCTAAAAATTTATAATTTGTAGTTTAGTAAAAAAAAATTGAAAAAAAGATTTTATTGAATAAAAAGGTTTTATAAAAGCATGGTTCTGATAGAATATGATTATACAATAGATTGTACTAATTTAATGTGATTATATATTTTAGTTTTTAGTTTGTTTTCTCAATATTTGATAAAATTTTACTAATATACATACGTATGCATAAATTTGGAATAATATGTTGATCTATTTCTTCAAAATATAATTATTATTACAACATTATTAAGCATCTAAAAACTTTTCAACATCTTATATATCGTCTTAATCTTAAAAAAAAATTTTAATCACCTGTCTGGAAGTGTTTCTCAGAACTATTTAATTAAGTTTTAACATTTTTAAAATTCTTATTCTTTAAGCTACTACGTATATTATTTCTGCATTGATATACTAATCAATTTTTTTAGTACTTTAATTTAAGTTTTCCTTAAAGTAAAGCTATTTTTTAAATTATTGTCAAGCTTGTTTTTAAAAGAAAACTTAGAATTAATGTCTGCTAGCTAACAATAAAACCTTGTTAAGAATAAAAAACATTCCGCTGCTTAAAATTATTTGATGCAAAACAGCTGACTAAGCATACTATTTTTTTGGAGAAACTAATAAAAATTATTGATTGTCTTTTCTTATTTCGTTTCTTGTGACTTCAACATAGATTATCTGAAAAAATGTTGATGTTTTATAAGTCCCTATAAAGAGTATAAATATATATTATACATCCATTTTCTTGTCTAATTTATTTAAAGCTTTTTTTTTTCTTTCTTTTTTAACAAAGTTCTGATGACCTTTTCATTTTCTCTATTTTTGCTCTACGAAACATAAATTAATGGAAATAACTAGCACAGACAGCTTCTATTGGTAAAATGTTGAAAGCAGAAGCTTCTTTTTTTTATCGAACAGCCGTAGATTGGCACCAAAGAGCGTTTGTCTTTCTCGAAGAGCAGACATACGGAATGTAATATAGGTGAATTGTACTCCTCATGTGGCAGACTATGCTCCAACAATCGAATTTTTCTGCCGGCATAGAGTATGAACGTTATTTATTGCGTATAGAAAGATTGCACACATAGAACGTTATTATAAATAATGGGGAAATTATTAAATGTATAAAATTTGTTAAAATTTTTAACCCCGAAATGGCTACAAAGCTGATTCAGAGTGCTGTGCGCTGAATGATGAATGGACTTGGAAATATTTAAAGATAAACCAATATGCCCTATCAGCAATGTAGATGCAACAGTTTTTCAAGAATACAACAATTTACAACCAAGCACAAAAATGCCAACTACGAAGCAACGTCTGAATGCGAAAGTAAACAAAATGCAGAAAGTCTTCTTAAAGAATTATCAGGCTGGCAAGCGTTTTTCAGGAAAATAAACAGTGTCCAAGAAGCAGCCACGCACGCAAGTTACTTCGTTACCATAGTCCCCCCCACATGGTCCGGAGGAATGGCTAGGGGAGTTCTTACTTTAGACAAACTGTAGTAATTTATTTAAGCCTCCTTAGCTATGCACAATAGGCTGTTGACTGCTGCCTGAGAAACATCCCTGAGAATGATACGAAGACAGGTAATTCTCAACAATGATCCTGTGCAGAGGAGATGTCTCCTCCGCTTTGGTAGCTTCATGCTTTCATGCTTATGATTGCTCACTCAATGAATACTTCAAAATTCAGTTCTTTGTTGCCAACGTGGAAAAAGAAATTTTATCGTTTTTATCTATCTTTATATGTACGGAATAATATTTTATGCAGTAAGAACTTTTACATTGTAGATAGGTAGTTAATCATACTAATTGGGTATAATATG